AGGGCGTTTGCGGTGAAGAGCCCCTGGGGCTCTGCGGGGGTTTTGATAAGTCCAAAGAGACACTTGTTGTTTTGTCTCCGCAAAAATAAAACCTTTTCTGCACTAAGTTCTTCTTGCCCCAACAGCCGTTCGCCCCGCGCGCTGCGCAAAGTCGCAGAGACCCTCCAGCCCTCTCCGGGCAGCAGCAAAAAGCTCACGAAGGTGTCCACGAGTTGTTCGGGGGCCAGCGAGGCCGCGGCCCCCACCAGCACCTGCATGCGCATGCAGCCCCAAAACGCATGCACGCGCATGCAGCCCCAAAACGCATGCATGCGCATGCAACACAAACGTGCATGCGCATGCAGCGCAAACGTGCATGCGCATGCAGCCCCAAAACGCATGCGCATGCAGCTTGAAAGTGCATGCGCATGCAGCCCGAAAGTGCATGCGCGTGCAGCGCAACAGTGCATGCGCATGCAGCCCCAAAATGCATGCGCATGCAGGGGGAAACGCATGCAGCCCCAAACGCTGTGGGGAAGAGAGTGAAGGAGATTGGGTGGAAATAAAAAAAGACAGGAGGAAAGAGTAAAAGAAATAAAAGATGAAAAGAGACAAAAATTAAAAAGAGAAATAAATAAAGTGCATGCGCGTGCAGCGCAACAGTGCATGCGCATGCAGCCCCAAAATGCATGCGCATGCAGGGGGAAACGCATGCAGCCCCAAACGCTGTGGGGAAGAGAGTGAAGGAGATTGGGTGGAAATAAAAAAAGACAGGAGGAAAGAGTAAAAGAAATAAAAGATGAAAAGAGACAAAAATTAAAAAGAGAAATAAATACTTTTCAGGGGACAAGCAGGAGACAAACGGAGGGCCTCGCCACACCCTGCGGACGTTTACCCCACACCCTAAACCCTAAACCCTAAACCCTAAACCCTAAACCCTAAACCCTCGTCAAAAGCACCTCTCGCTGCAGCAAAACAGAATATTTAAACGTCAAAGAGACACCCAAATTGTCCTGCTTCTCGGGCTGCTTCCTCCGCAGCGACGGGAAGGCGAGGGTGAAGTTGTAGCGCTGAGCAGCCCAAACCCCAAACCCTAAACCCTAAACCCTAAACCCTAGATCTTGAACCCCAGCAGCTCCGCCCACACCTGTTCCTTCTGAGTCGCCGGCTCTGCCGAGTCACAGCGGCGCACCAGCTGGACCTCCCCTAGGGTTTTGGGCCTAGGGTTTAGGGCCTAGGGTTTAGGGCCTAGGGTTTAGGGTTTAGGGTTTAGGGTTTACTCTGGCGGCGAGTTCTATGGGCTGCTCCACAGTCAGAGTCTCCGCAACCTCCGCAGCCTCTTTAAGTGTCTCCATTCGATTGCGAAGGCCAATGTCATATTCTCTTTGCAAGTTTTGAATTGTGTCCAGGTGCCTCTGCACAAAACCCTAAACCCTAAACCCTAAACCCTAAAAGTCCTAAACCCTAAACCCTAGACTCTGCAGTGCGGGGCTGCTGCGCTCCCGCCAAGCCGTAGAGGCCTCTGCTTAAGACCCTGGGGCTGAGGCAGCGGCGCTGAGCAAAACCCTAAACCCTAAACCCTAAACCCTAAACCCTAAACCCTAAACCCCAAAGTCAAGCTTCTGAAGCTGGGCGCCATACCCCCCAAAGCCACGCACTAAGAAACCCTCAAGACCAAGAAGGCCTTGAAGCCCCAAAAAACCCTAAAACCCTAAACCCTAAACCCTGAACCCCAAACCCTAAACCCTAATCGCCAAACCCTAGCCCCTTGACCCCGAACCCTAGACCCCAGCCGGCCCACAACCCGAAACCCTAGCCCGACGCCCAGGCCCCTGGCCCAAACCCCAAACCCCAAACCCCAAACCCCAAACCCTAAACCCTAAACCCTAAACCCTAAACCCTCGGGGGGCACCTGGATTTGTCGGAGGTAGTTTCTGTGTTTTTTTCTGGCGAGAATGCCCTCTGCAATCCAGCGCATGCATGCAGCAGCAGCTTGGGGCTTGCTGAGGGGCGGGCTGCTGATGCTGCTGCAGCAGGAAGACAGCAGCGCAGCAGCAGCAAAGTCCGGCGGCTCCTGGCTAGCCATGTGGCTAGCCACAGCAGCTAGCTGCGCAGCTAGCTGCTCAGGAGACCCTGCAGTCAACGGGGGACTCAAACGGAGACACTCAGCTAGCTGCTGCCGCAGGTCTTCGCGCTGCGGGGCTGCGTAGCGCAGCAGCACCGCCAACACCCGCTGCCCGTCCTGCACGCCCCAAACCCTAAACCCTAAACCCTAAACCCTAAACCCTAAACCCTAAACCCTGAACGTGGGTCCTTGAACGCAACCCACTGCGCCGGAACGCAGCGCTCCACGGGCTCCTCGGCTAACTGGGAGCAGCGACCCGTCAAACCCTAGCTCTAAACCCTAAACCCTAAACCCTAAACCCTAAACCCTAGAGACTTGTGTGAAAGCTATTCCGGAAGGTGCAGACGCGGAAGAGGCTCGCATTTCTACCAAAAAGGGCTCGTCTCCCCGTAGGCCTGCTACGCAAACCCTAAACCCTAAACCCTAAACCCTAAACCCTACCTTTGTCTCCGCGCGCTGCCGCAGTGCCAGCCGCTGAGGCACAGGCGCGTGCGTGATGCTGCAGTACACCAAGTTTCTCTCGCTGCGCGTAAACCCTAAACCCTAAACCCTAAACCCTAAACCCTTTCAGCCGTAAGTGTCACATTTGAAAGAACTTCTATACGTGCCGTGAGAGCCAGGGCCCCAAGACGTTCGAACTTCCAAACTAGGCGTTAACGCTGCTAGGGTTTAGGGTTTAGCGGCTAGGGTTTAGGGTTTAGCGGCTAGGGTTTAGGGTTTAGGGTTTACGTGATGAGGAAGCGGTGCTCAACCCTAAAAGTGTAGGAGGTTTTTGCTGCCTTGGCGCTTTCCACCATTTGTTTGGAGAAGGGCGGGTCCCGGCCGTCGCTCACGGCTTGCACCTAGCCACAAACCCTAAACCCTAAACCCTAAACCCTAAACCCTAAACCCTCAGAGCCCGCCACCTTGCAGCAACGGCAAGCGTGCATGCGGCCCTGGTTGCCTAGCAAAGTTGGAAACAACAGCAGCAACGGCAGCAGCAGCAGCAACAGCCCGAGCAGTATCAGCAGCAGCAACCGTAGCAACAGTAAAAGCAGCAGCAGCAGCAGCAGCAGCAGCAGCAGCAGCAGCAGCAGCAGCAGCAGCAGCAGCAGCTAGCTCACAATTTTTGCTACAGGGTCGTGAGCAGAGAGGTTTATATAGGCCTCGTACTTCTTGCAGATGTTGATGAGAGCTGCAGCAGCACCCAAACCCTAAACCCCAAACCCTAGGTGATGGCTGGCCAATTCAACTTTAGGGTTTAGGGTTTAGGGTTTAGGGTTTAGGGTTTACATAGCAGATCCCCGCTGGCCCAAGTGACGAAGTGTTCCTTCATGTCGTAGTGAGAGGCAAAGAGGTCCATCATAAGCTGCAGCAAAAGCAAAGCAACACTGCTGCTGCTGCTGCTGCTGCTGCTGCTGCTGCTGGGCAGGCTCCCAGCAGCAGCAGGCGCAGGACTTTACTGCAGGAATAGCAGCCATAGCAGCAGCAGCAGCAGCACCGCCCCAAGCAGCAGCAGCAGCAGCAGCAGCAGCAGCAGCAGCACTTTCACAGTTGATAGAAGATGCGGCTACCAGCAACGCCTTGCCGCTGCAGCCAGAGCAGCCACTGGCAGCAGCAGCAGCAGCAGCAGCAGCAGGAGCGGCAGCGCGGCTACCAGCGCAGCCAGCAGCAGCAGTAGCAGCGCAGCAGCGCAACCAGAGGCAGCATCAGCAGCAGCAGAGCAACCAGGAGCAGCAGCAGCAGCAGCGCAACCTGGAAAGGCAGCGTCAGCAGCGTCACCAGAAGGATCAGAATCAGCAGCAGCAGCAGCAGCAGCAGCAGCAGCAGCAGCAGCAGCAGCAGCAGCAGCAGCAGCAAGCGACCTCCACGTCGAGTTGGTCCTCGACTTCCATTTGCTGCCGCAGGGCTTGTGCTGCTGCTCTCCAGAGAGTGAGCTGCAGCTGCTGCAGCAAATGAGCTGTGGGGAGATTTTCAAAGTCTCCTTTTGCCAGCAGCAGCAGCACTGCTGCTGCAGTCTTCAGTTTGCTGCTGATGGTCTCCGGCAAGGGGTCCAGGCCGCTGAGTCCTGCGGGCGCAGCACGCGCCTCGAAGCGAGGGTTTAGGGTTTAGGGTTTAGGGTTTAGGGTTTAGGGTTTAGCTTGCCTAGCAACACTGCGGGCCGGACGCGCAGGGCTGCGGGCGGCTCTCACGGCGAGGGTTTAGGGTTTAGGGTTTAGGGTTTGGAGTTGGGGCCTCAGCTCCCCCAGCTGGCGTCCAGGGCGGAGGCGCAGAAACTAGGGTTTAGGGTTTAGGGTTTAGGGTTTAGGGTTTGCGCACTGCAGAACTCGTCAGGGTCCGCCAAAAGAGGCTCGAAAAGCCCATTCAAGACCAGCTTAACTACTGGGATCGTGTAGCAAAAGTCGATCCCCAGCTGCAGCAGTTCAGGGTCTAGTGCGAAGCCGCGGGAGTAGACAAAAAGGGAGGTTTGCAGCAGCAGCCGCTGCACTGCAGCAGGAAGCAGCAGCAGCTGCTGCTGCAGCAGCCCCACCAGCCCCGACAGCAGCAGCTCCTGCAGCGCCTCAAACCCTAAGTGAAACTCGCTCCGGATTGCTTCTTGTTGGCTCTTGGAGGCGTCTTCGATTTTCTCCAGCCCTGCGCAAACCCTAAACCCTAAACCCTAAACCCTAAACCCTAAACCCTTGGCCAGCAGCCCAAACCCTAAACCCCAAACCCTAAACCCTAGCTCACCGTGCTTCGGAAGCAACTCGTCGATGTTGTAGTACACGTCCACGTTTCCAAGTCGAGAGACACGCGTGGCGAAGGAGCTGCGGCGAAGCACAGGCTCTAGGGTTTAGGGTTTAGGGTTTAGGGTTTGGGGTTTAGGGTTTGGGAAAGACTAAAACTTACTTGGGGTTTTGCAAGTCCAGCAAAGCGTTGCAAAAGAGAGCCCTGAAGCCTCGCAGCGCGTACATCCTAAGTAGCTCCATCAAATTTGAAGTCCCTGAGCAAACCCTAAACCCTAAACCCTAAACCCTAAACCCTAAACCCTAAACCCTAAGCTTCAGGTTCCTTACTTTGAGGTCTCGCCATTTGGTGACTTCAAGTGTTACGACCACATAATGACCCCCATAACCCTGAAGCCCGCTTCCGAATCCCCACGCCAAAACCCTAAACCCTAAACCCTAAACCCTAAACCCTACTAGGGTCCATGCAAGACATAAGGTCCGGAACTTCTGCAACTTCTTGCCTTGCCACGGCTCTCATCAAGCAGCAAAAGAGGCCCCCAATGCGCCTGTCATCCAGCTCCAGGTATACCTGCCAGCCACAAACCCTAAACCCTAAACCCTAAACCCTAAACCCTAATGCCTAAATCCCAGAAGAAAGGGCTCGCCAGCAGCGCTCTCCTGAGCTTCCTCTTGGCAGCCGTTCCTGTGAGCTGCGCTTCACGGCTGGAAGTATAGTGCCGCTACAACAAGGGATTTAGGGTTTAGGGTTTAGGGTTTAGGGTTTAGGGTTTACTTGCTCGGTGACTCTCAGCACCACTTCTCTCTCTGTTTTCAAATTGACAGAAAACAAAAGCCGCAGCAAATAAGCTGGCTGCTGCTGCAGAATAAAAGCCAAGGGCTCCACCGCAGGCAGCTTCGACTGCAGCTCCTCCGGGGTTTTGTTGCTGCATCCAAACCCTAAACCCTAAACCCTAAACCCTAAACCCTAAACCCTACGCCCTGAGCACTAGACCGTGCAAAAGGAGCCCGAGGGGTTCAGTCTTAAGCCTTGACATCTTTAACACCTCGGGGATGCAGCAGCAGGCTGGGGCTTGGCAGATTAGGGTTTAGGGTTTAGGGTTTAGGGTTTAGGGTTTAGGGTTTGAGCTCTAGGGTTCAGGGTTTGCGAATTGAAGGACGCACTCCGCAGTATTCGCCAAAGCACAACGCGCTCGCGCAGCAACCCCGATCAGCTGCAGCACGCAAAGCCCAAACCCTAAACCCTAAACCCTAAACCCTAAACCCCAGAAGCAGGGCCTCTGTTGGACCCTTCTGAATTCAGCACTCGCAGGCAAACAACCAAGTGTGTCCTTTGAAGAGCCCTCATCAACAGCGACCAGCCTAGGGTTTAGGGCTTAGGGTTTAGGGTTTAGGGTTTAGGGTTTAGGGTTTAGGGTTTGGGGCGCTGACGAGGGTTTGGTAGTGGGTTTCGAGCTGCTTGAGCTCCTTTTCCCTGTCTCCTAACTGCAGCAGCTCGTTGATGTCTCTGTTTAAAATGGAGACAAGAGAGTCTTCGAGAGACAAAAGAAAGTCTGGGCGAGTTTCGAATTCTTCCTGCTGCAGCAGCTGCTGCAGCGCGGGCCACAGCGAGCCCACCATGCTGCTGCTGCTGCTGCTGCTGCTGCTGCTGCTCGAAGCAGCAGCAAACGCCAGCCGCGACAGAAAACCCTGCACTTCCGCCTCGCTCAAAGTCTGAGCCCCCAGCAGCAGCAACGCAACACCAAACCCTAAACCCTAAACCCTAAACCCTAAACCCTAAGCGCCGGATGCTTCTCAAGGAGCAGGCCTGCACGCGGCTGCGCCTTGGGCCCGCCTGCCCTACGGTCTAGGGTTTAGTGTTTAGGGTTTAGGGTTTACGGTCCTAGGGTTTAGCGTCTAGGGTCTAGGGTTTAGGGTTTAGGGTTTGGGTTGCAGCGTTCGTACGGGGTCAAGGTGGATTCTGTCTGCTGCTGCTGCTGCGTCCTGCAAGTCCGCGGGGTACTGAAAGCCGGTGTCTGCTGCTGCTGCTGCTGCTGCTGCTGCTGCTGCTGCTGCTGAGGAGACACTTGGATCCGCCCAATTAGGGACTACCATTGCGGGGGTTTGCTGCAGCTGCTTCCGCCGCCACCCCACACCCAGCCGCCCGCCTCCCGTGCAGCCCCACGCGTAGAGTTCCCCGTTCCTGCAGCTCAAACCCTAAACCCTAAACCCTAAACCCTAAACCCTAGGGCCTGAAGGCGGGCCCTCCGCCTCCGCAAGTTGTGGGCGCAGCTCGGGTCTGTTGCAGCGGCAGGCCCCGGAAGGCGCGGGGCCGAGGGTTTAGCGTTGGCTAGGGCCTGCTGGGGTTGCGAGGGTTTAGGGTTTAGGGTTTAGGGTTTAGGGTTTAGGGTTTGCGCGCCTGAGCTTAACTATGGTGTGCTGCGGCCCCGTGAAAACCCTTTCTGCCTGCTGCGGCAAACCCTCGACAAGTTCGGGGCGGTCCAGCTGTTCTGCGCGGCGGGGGCCGCAGCAGGCCTGGAGACACTTGTTGTCTCCCCAGCCGTAGACCTGCGTCCAAACCCTAAACCCTAAACCCTAAACCCTAAACCCTAAACCCCAAACCCTAAACCCTAAACCCGCGCGCTGATCTCCCCATCCCGGGCGCTGCAGCAGCGCGCCTTCGGCTCCTAAAACGCCCGCCCGCAGCCCCAACCCCGCACCCCGCACCCCGCACCCCAAACCCCAAACCCTAAACCCTAAACCCTAAACCCTAAACCCTAAACCCTCGCGGCGGACGCGGCCGTCCTCGGTGACGGCGAGGCAGTGGTCGCCGCATGCAGCCACGGAGGAGAGGCGGGGGGGCCCCTGGGGGCCCTCAATTTGGACGAAAAGCTTTGGAGACAAAATGTGTTGGCAGCAGCAAAGGCTGCTGCTGCGGCCCCACACCCAGAGTTCTCCAGCAGCAGAGAGACACAGAGACACGGAGGCCCCCGCGGCTATTTGCCGCACCTGCGCGCACAAGGAGGGCCCTTGGTGGGGTTTGTTGCAGCAGCAGCAGCAGCAGCAGCAGCAGCAGCAGCAGCAGGAGATGGGGAAAAAGGAGACAAAAAGAAGAGAAATTGGTGAAAAAAGAGACTAAATGGTTGAGCCAGAAGAAAGGAGACAGAAGAGAAAACAGAGTGCGGGGGACAAAGGGAAAGACAAAAGAAATTCAAAGACACAAAAGGAGAAGGCAGCAGCTTGCTGCTGTCTGCTGCTGCTGCTGCTGCTGCTGCTGCTGCTGCGGTTAGCCCTTTTGGCTGCAGCAACAGCAGCGGCAGCGGCAGCACCAGCACCACCCCTCCGTCATCATAACCATAGCATAGTCAGCAGCAGCAGCAGCATTGCCAGAAGCACCATAATCAGCAGCAGCAGCAGCAGCAGAAGCAGCAGCAGCAGAAGCAGCAGCAGCAGCAGCAGCAGCAGCGGACTTTGACGTGTGTGGGGAAGTTGACTCTGGCGGGTGCGTAGACGTTGGCTGTGACGCCGAGCAGCACAATCAGCAGCACAACCACCAGCAGCACCAGCCCCACCAGCCTACCCACAGTCATCAGCAGCAGCAGCAGCAGCAGCAGCAGCAGCAGCAGCAGCAGCAGCAGCAGCAGCAGCAGCAGCAGCAGCGGACTTTGACGGGAGTGGGGAAGTTGACTCTGGCAGGTGTCTAGACGTGGAGCCGAGCAGCACAATCAGCATCACAACCACCAGCAGCACCAGCCCCACCAGCCTACCCACAGTCAGCAGCAGCAGCAGCAGCAGCAGCAGCAGCAGCAGCAGCAGCAGCAGCAGCAGCAGCAGCAGCAGCAGCGGACTTTGACTGGAGTGGGGAAGTTGACTTTGGCGGGGGTGTAGACGTTGGCTGTGGAGCCGAGCCCCAGGCGGCCGTAGAAGCCGGCGCCCCAGGAGTAAAGGAGACCCCTGGCAGTCAGGGCCAGCACGTGGCTTTGCCCTGAGAAAAAGGAGACAAAAGAGACACTTTTGAAGCTTTTTTTGAGGCTTTTGAGGAGGTAATGGAGCGAATTTGAAGGGCCTTTTGAAGGGCAGTTGCGGGGAGAAGTTAAAGCAAAAAAAGGAGACAAAAAGGAGACAAAAAGGAGACAAAAAGGAGACAAAAAGGAGACAAAACGGGGAGAAAAGGAGACACAAGGAGACAAAGGAGACACTTTTGAAGCTTTTTTTGGGGCTTTTGAGGCAGCAATGGAGCGAATTTGAAGGGCCGTTTGAAGGGCGGCTGCAGGGAGAAGTTGCAGCGAAAAAAGGAGACAAAAAGGAGACAAAAAAGAGACAAAAAGGAGACAAAAAGGAGACAAAAAGGAGACAAAACGGGGAGAAAAGGAGACAAAGGAGACACTTTTGAAGCATTTCTTGGGCTTTTCAAGCAGCAATGGAGCGAATTTGAAGGGCCGTTTGAAGGGCAGTTGCAGGGAGAAGTTAAAGCAAAAAAAGGAGACAAAAAGGAGACAAAAAAGAGACAAAAAGGAGACAAAAAGGAGACAAAACGGGGAGAAAAGGAGGCAAAGGAGACACTTTTGAAGCTTTTTTTGGGGCTTTTGAGGCAGCAATGGAGCGAATTTGAAGGGCCGTTTGAAGGGCGGCTGCAGGGAGAAGTTGCAGCGAAAAAAGGAGACAAAAAGGAGACAAAAAAGAGACAAAAAGGAGACAAAAAGGAGACAGAACGGGGAGAAAAGGAGACAAAAGGAGACACTTTTGAAGCATTTTTTGAGGCATTTCAAGCAGCAATGGAGCGAATTTGAAGGGCATTTTTAAAAGGGGTTGCAGGGACAAGTAAAAGCAAAAAAAAAGGGCAAAAAGGAGACAAAAAGGAGACAAAAAGGAGACAAAAAAGAGACAAAAAGGATGGAAAAAAAGGCCAAGAAAGGTCCCGAAAAGGAAGAAAGAAAAGGCAAAAAGGCGACTACAAACGGAAAAGAGAGAAAAGGGAAGAAAAGTATTTGAAGGAGAGAAAAGAAAAGCTGCGGAAAACCCTAAAAAGGGGAAAAAAGGAAAAGGCAGGAAAGTCCCAAAAAGGACCAAAAAGGGAGAGAAGCGGAGTTGCGGAAAACCCTAAAAAGGAGAATAAGAAAAGGGAAGGAAGGGGCTGAAAAGAGAAGAAAAAAGGGGCGAGAAGGGCGCGTCCTAAACCCCAAACCCTAAACCCTAAAAAAGGGTTTTGGGTGCGGACCGAGGGCGAGTTTGGAGACAGCAAAGGGGACAGACACCGCGTGGGGGACAGTGACAGCGCCCCCGAGGACTTGTTCTCCAAGTCCGAGTTTGCCGCTGTCAGCCGCGCCCCACATCCAGAGGTCGCCGGCCTGCAGCACGTCCTCGGCAGCAGCAGCAGCAGCAGCAGCAGCAGCAGCAGCAGCAGCAGCAGGAGACACAAAAATGCTGGTGAAGGGCTGCTTGTATTGCAGAAGAGGCAGCACAGAGATGCATGCACAACCACTAACGCTGAACCCCAGGTTCTCGCCACCATTTAACTCTAAACCCTAAACCCTAAACCCTAAAACCTAAACCCTAAACCCTAAACCCTAAACCCTCACTTGGATGATGGGAATGCCTCCGAGGGTTTCGAGAAGCCGGGGAGTGGGACAGTCCTAACCAACCCTCCCCCTCACCCCTACCCCCACCCCTAAACCCTAAACCCTAAACCCTAAACCCTAAACCCTCACTTGGATGATGGGAATGCCTCCGAGGGTTTCGAGAAGGCGGGGCGTGGGACAGTCCCAAGGTGCCCTCCCCCTCACCCTCTCCCCACCCCCTAAACCCCAAACCCTAAACCCTAAACCCTAAACCCTAAACCCTAAACCCTCACTTGGATGATGGGAATGCCTCCGAGGGTTTCGAGAAGGCGGGGCGTGGGACAGTCGGTTTCGTCTCCGTGGCCGAGGCGGAAGAAAGCCCCCCCGCCCCAGGTGTACGTACACCCGCGGCGGTCCACTGCAGCACTGTGGCTCTCGCCAGCAGCAACAAAAACTATTTGCTGCTGCAGCAGCTGCTGCAGCAGCGCGGGCAGCAGCGCGCCGCGCGTGTGGCCCAGGCCCAGCCGCCCGCTTGCTGCAGAAAGGAGACACTTGCGGAGACAGGGACTTTCGGAGTTGGATTTTAAGTTTTAAAAAGTTTTAAAAAGTTTTTAATTTAAATTTATTTTGAACTTTAAAAGTAAAGTCAGGTAAAATAATAATATATAAAGTTGAAAGTTTTTTTAAACTTTTAAAGGTGAAGAAAGGATCTGTTTTCGGGTTTAAGAAACTGCTTTGGGGACTTTGAAGTTGGGAAATTTATGGATTTTGAGACTTTTGAAGTTGAGAAATAAATATATTTAAAGACTTTTGAAGTTAAAAAATAAATATATTTAGAGACTTTTGAAGACAAAAAGGAGACAAAAAGGAGACACAGAAGGAACAAAAAAGCGACTAAAAGGGGACAATAAGGAGACAAAAAGGAGACAAAAGGAGACAAAAAGGAGACAAAAAGGAACAAGAAAAGGGACAAAACTGGGACCAAAAAAGAGACGAAAAAGAGACAAAAAGGAGACAAAAAAGGAGGAAAAAGGGAAAAAAAGAAGCAAAAGAGAGGCAAAGCAGAGACAAAAAAGAGACGAAAAAGAAAAAAAGAAATAAAACGAATAAAAAAGAACAAAAGAAATTAACAACTAAGCCCCGGCTCCCCAGGCCCAGCAAGTCCCGTCTTGGAGACAGCAGAGGCTTTTAAGGAGACAAAAATGCCAAAAGGAGACACCCAAAGACAAACCACAAAAGGAGACAAAAAACTCAAAAAAACTCAAAAAAAGCCAAAAAAAAGCCAAAAAAAAGCCAAAAAAAGCCAAAAAAAGAAACAAAAAGAGACAAAAAGAGACAAAAAGAGACAAAAAGAGACAAAAAGAAACAAAAGAATGAAAGAAACAAAAGAAGAAAAAAGAATAAAAAAGAAAAAACTCACCCCCAGCTCCCCAGGCCCAGCAAGTCCCGTCCTGGAGACAGCAGAGGCTTTTAAGGAGACACCCAGAAGACCAAAAACTCAAAAAACTCAAAAAAAGCCAAAAAAAGTCAAAAAAAGCCAAAAAAAAGCCAAAAAAGAGACAAAAAGAGACAAAAAGAAACAAACAAAACAAAAAAGAAAAAAGAAACAAAAGAAGAAAAAAAAAACTAACCCCCAGCTCCCCAGGCCCAGCAAGTCCCGTCCTGGAGACAGCAGAGGCTGTGTTTGGCGCCTGCTGCTGCATGCGTGACGAAGCTGGCGCTGGAGTGTACGTACACCCGGTGGGGTGTCTGTCTCTCCCGGGTGTCTCCGAGCCCGAGGGCCCCGTGGCAGTTTTGTCCCCAACTGAAGAGGGCCCCACAGTCGGAGACAGCGAGGCTGTGCGCGGCCCCACAGCTGACGAGGGCGATCCGGGATCGATCTGGGAACCGAACCCGGTGAAACTGCGCAGCAAACCAACTCTCCTCCTCCTCCTGCTGCTGCTGCTGCTGCTGCTGCTGCTGCTGCTGCTGCTGCTGCTGCGGCGACGGGAGGTCCTGCGGCGACGGCGTCGCCGCAGGAGCCCCCGCTGCAGCAGGAGCAGCAGCAGCAGCAGCAGCAGCAGCAGCAGCAGCAGCAGCAGCAGCAGCGGGGCCCCGCTTGGGGTAGCCCAGCCTGCCGCAAGTCCCGAGGCCCACGCTGTAGAGTTTTCCGCCAGAGTCCGAAGGCCTCTTGACGAGGACTAGGGAGT